GTCCCCGTCAGTGTCCCTGTCACAGCGGGTCCCCGTCAGTGTCCCCGTCACAGTGTCCCCGTCCCCGCGCGTCCGTCCCCACTGCCGCGGGGCTGCTGCAGAGCACGAAGATCTCCTCCAAAGCTGCATAAGACAAGTTTAATTTCCAACCAGGGTCACAGTCATTGCATTATCCCACATTTTTGAGCAAGGATAGAGAAGGTGAGTTATTAAACATATACAGTCTACATTCCAGAGAAAGGAAAAAGAAAAAAATCCCACTTCAGAACTGCAGATACCACTGTAACACCACAAACTTCGGAGGCGGCAGAGGGAAGGGGGAATCCCCAGAAAGAAAGCTGGAACAAGGAAGATCAACAATTAAACCAACTTCAGAGACGCAGGAGAGGGAGTTTACAGAAATGGAACGGAACCCCCAACCCCTAAGGACTTGCTAGGTGAACGGGAACATAGAAAGGCCCGTCCCCCACCTCCCCCAGGAGCCAGAGATGTTACCAAGATGTTACTGCCCCCTGCTGGACGTATCTGGAGCAGCATCAAGTCAACATCTTCAGCTGCCTCAGCCTGCTCAGCCTCAGGCTGGTCCCAGGAGGCTGAGAAAACCAAGATGCTGGGGCGGTGGGTGGGGTGGACTGAGCCTGCGATAAACGAAACCTATGTGGAACTACTACCTAAGAGGCAAGGTCAGAAAGCGCGGCAGAGGAAGAGGCACAGTCCTCACCACTCATAGAGAGGAGAAAATCAAACAGAAGACAAAAACAAGGAAAAGAAAAACAAACAGGCCACAACAGTGAAGGAACTGAGAAGGCAAAGCAGAGCTCAGAGTGGCAACAGAGGGGAAAATCAGAAACCGGCGGAGAAAGTGTGGGGGGCAGTGTCCGGAGTGAGAGTGATGAACTAACTCACTGTAAAAGGAAACAGAACACCGGCACACACACACACGCACACACACACACACACACACACACGGTATCTGGGGTTTAATAACACAGCACTAAGTGCACTGAGGGAGACACCCCTGGAACCTCTCAGTTTGGCTGGGGTAGGCTGGGGAACTGATCTGCCTGCTGTGGACAAAGCTGGCAGGAAAGCCGGCCAGAGTGGAGCTCAGCAGGGCCTTCTGGGAAGGGGTCCGTCCCTCAGCCATCCTGCAGAGGGCCCAGGGTCCTGGCCTTAGCAGAGAGGTTACGACAGCTGGTTTGGAGCTCAGGGCGCAGCCAGCACACACAGGAGCCCACAGGGCAGCCACGGCCTCACTGCGGCAGGACCCAGGTCAGAGTCTCAGGAGTAAGCAGGGGCCTCCTACAGACCGCAGCAGCATCCGACCACAGACAGGATGGAGGAGGGAGGCCCCGATTATCACTGTCCCAGCGCCAGCCGCACAGGGTCCTGTTTCCTCCATTCCAACCCCCTCAACCTATTCAAGGACGTGTGTGAGGACTGAGGAAAGCTGCCAGCAAGGAGGGTCTGAGGCCCGCACACAGCCGGACATCGTCTTTAGCTGGTCCTGCACTAGAAAGAGACTGGCGCACAGGGGTTGATACTGAAGTCTGCTAGGTCACCCCTACGCCATGGCTTCTGTTACCCCACCTGGTCAGTCCCCAGCAGGCCAGCAGGACTACTAGGTGAGAGAATCTGCCCAAGGACAGATGGAGCCACCCAGGCCCGAGCTCGGAAGACTGAGGAAGGTCCAGGAGGGCAGAGGCAGGATGCTCCACACCTTACCTTCTAGTAACAAGAACAAGATGGAAACAGACCACGCTCCACCCCTCGCCATGCAGGTCCCACAACCCACCTCCCTCTGAGCTTCTGGGGAGGATCTCATGATGGTGGGGAGGACTGATCAAAGTGAGCGGGTTCCTCTCTCCTTCCCACCACCGAGGCAGCACAGGACGGCATCTCGTAGGAACAGTCATCTAGAGAGAAATGCCGTTTCTCACGCTCATAAGGGTGGAGAAGAAATCTAAGGAAGACGGCTGCAGAGTCCACCATCTGTCCTAACGTCAGGAACACCTCCTGCGGAGAGGAAAGCAACGGGACCCACCCCCATTCCCCTGATCTCACCAACACAGAGGGCAGATGACGGGCTCCACTGGGCAGTGTCCTGGCCGCAAGCCCTGAGCTGCTCTCCACTCCCTCCCCCGACCCCCACATATATATCTCTCTATACACGTATATACAGGCGCACACATGCACGCACACACAGAGAGGCCCGTGCAATTTCCATGTAGAACAGGAGAGGGTTAGAAGAAGGAAAGGAAGATGGGGCAGAGTGGCCAGGGGGACAGGGAAGGAGCCAGTGCCAAACAGCCCCGGAAAGAACAGCCCACTCTTCCTCCTGAAGCCCAGCAGGGAGACCACCCCATGAAACCATAACAGCCTCGTTTGTTTTAAATCCAGTAAATTGGAATGATTCATCATCGGGACAGCAGTGGGGGACTGATCATGTCAGTGACAGGGAGGGAGGGAGGGAGGGAGGAAGGGAGGAAGGGAGGGAGGCACAGGAGGCAAGGCTCTTGCTGGGCACGTAAACATGATACCCAGGACTGGCCACACTTTCAAGAGGCAGGAAGGGAAATATGGGAGGGAGACAACAGGTACGTGGCGGAGTGGGTGGGGCAGCCAGACGAGGCTGCCTGCTCTCACTTCTTGTTCTTGAGTTGATTGGCCAGCCAGTCCAAGCCCTCATAGAGCCCGTCCCCGCTGGTTGCACAGGTGGCCTGAATGTACCAATTGCGGTGGCGCAGAGAATGCAGCCCCAGCTTGTCTGTGATTTCAGCAGCGTTCATAGCATTCGGCAAATCCTGCAGTGCAAGGAGACACACACACAGATACCTCAGGATCTCCCCAAGTCTTCTAGGGCCCCCGTTTACCAATGGCACATCTGTGGCCACCTCCTCCTCCATCTCAAGACCTGAACCAACACTCTAGGCCCAGAAGGCCAGACCCAGACAGCTTTCCATGAGGAGAGGTGGGTTATAAATGTGTGATTCAGACGGCCAAAGGATCAAGTCTGACAGCAGTAAGGCCAGTTAGTTCCACTACAGGGCACAGCAGGGAAGACAAAAATCCTGCAGAGACGGATCTACCACATTCATCCTGAGGACTAAAATGCTGCTAAATTCAACTGGGCTGGAGAACAAGGAAGGGGCATGAAGAAGCCAACAGCTTGTCTTTCCCACACTACCAAGTGGACAACGGTAGTCAGGCCTCTCCACACAGTGACCCCCAGGGCTCCATGTCGTCTCCCGTCAGGACGAGGGAGACATGGCACCTGCTTGTTTGCGAACACAAGGAGCACAGCGTCCCGGAGCTCGTCCTCCGCCAGCATCCTCATCAGCTCCTCCCGGGCCTCGTTGACTCGCTCCCGATCATTGCTGTCCACCACAAATATCAAGCCTAGAGACAGAGAGAGCATGGAACACACAGAGCTAACTGAAGTCTGCCTCCATCACCACGCCCTCCAAGCACATGCCCCCCCTTCTCTCCACTTCCAGGAGCTGCATCAGGGCAAGGGCTGGCTGCCCAGAACGGAAGAAGACAGCCATGCTCTGCACAAACCCAGCAGAGCAGTGCCAACCCTGGCAAGTCTGTCCGCCATACCTTGGGTGTTCTGGAAGTAGTGTCTCCAGAGGGGCCGAATCTTGTCCTGGCCACCTACGTCCCATACTGTGAAGCTGATATTCTTATATTCCACTGTTTCCACATTAAACCCTTTTGGGGGAAAAAGGTCAATGGTTAATGGCCTCAAATACCAGACCTACAAATAATGACCACTAAGCTTATTCCCATTTTTTTCTTCTCAGCTTTGGACATGACACCAACAACAGGAAGCTTAAGGGATCCTAGGACCTGGTGATCCGTGACCTGGGTAGCCTGAAAGAAAATCTGAAAGAGCTGGAGAAACGGTTCAGCAGCTGGGAGCACTTGTTCTTGCAGGAGACTAGGGTTCAGTTCCCAGCACCCACACAGTAGCTCACAACCATCCCTAACTCCAGTTCCAGGGGATCTGACGCCCTCTTCTATCTTCCATGGACACTAGGCTTGCATGCATATGGTACACACACACACACACACACACACACACACACACACACACACACAGAAATAAGCATGTTATATATATGTATATATGTGTGTGTGTGTGTGTATGTATGTATGTATGTATGTATGTATGTATGTATGTATATATATATGAAGGAAAACCTAAGAAATCAACAATGAGGCCTGGTCAGAAGGTATGTATGTATGTATGTATGTATGTATGTATATATATATGAAGGAAAACCTAAGAAATCAACAATGAGGCCTGGTCAGAAGGTGCAGAGCTGCCTGGGCAATATGAGCCAACCTTCTCCTCATTCATTCAGATTCTCGTTCTCCGTTCTACAAAGGAACAACTAATTGTCCCTTGGTCACTAAGAAGTATCTAAGGTAAGCCGTGGAGCTGAGAGGCAGAGACATCAGACAGCTACAGTGCCGGGGCCCACGTCTGTAGCAAATGTCCTCCGCCAGCAGGCAGGTCTTAACCAAGATGCCACCACCGTTTTAAGATCTAAACCAAAGCAATTCCAGGCCTCTGGCAGGAACATCAAAGCCCTTCACCTGCTTTCCAAACAACACAGAGAACAATCCAACTCCAATGCCTGAGGGCAACTGTTGAGTGCCAGGCTGCGGAAGTTCCCGCATCAGGGAGGGCCAGGGCAGGTGGGCAAACGGCAGCTCCAGCACCTGCCGGTAAGTTAAACAGATCCTCTCTGAAGCCCACGAATGTGTGGACTCGCCGGGGAGAATGGGCCAGGAGGGAGATCCACAAGCAGGCCCCCAGCCTTCCATCAACCCGCAACCACAAGCTGGCCTAAGCTTACCAATGGTAGGGATGGTGGTGACAATCTCCCCCAGCTTCAGCTTATACAGGATGGTGGTCTTCCCTGCAGCATCCAGGCCCACCATCAGGATGCGCATCTCCTTCTTCCCAATTAGGCTCTTCAGAAGGTTTCCAAAGATATTGCCCATGATTACAGTGGCTGCTTTCTGAGGTCAGTGGGACCCAGGGAGAGGCAGTAGTAGTCTGGGTTTAGCCTGGTCCCTGGTATGGAGGGCTTGATCCTAGACAAAGCAAACACAAACTCCTTACCATCATTTGCTTGTAAGGACTTCAGATTCATGGAAATGGCCCAAGTCGTCGCTGGAGTTCATTTACAACTGGCTGAGCACCAGGAGGGACTATGAATACCCAGGCCACTCACAGACTGAACTTCTGAGAGGAGAGGCAAAGCAGGAGAACGCAGGACCCTTGCTACACAGGGAATCTACTCTAGGAGGGTTGCTTACTTCATCTTTGCAGATCTGCATCTGAAAATCGAGAAGGTTCTAACCGGTAATTTCTAAAGCCTTTTTAGTTCTGATGTTCTCTGTTACACCCTAAAGCACTGCAAACCCATGTGCGCCTCTCCCTCACCAACCTGACCGAGCTTCTGAAGAGGGTGGTAGAGAGTGGAATGAGGAGTGGCTGGGACTCCTGACAAGGCTCAGGCTTGCCAGGTTCCCAAGGTTTACGCTCTGCTCTAGTCAAGAGCTGGTTCTTTCCCTGCCTGTCACTCTGTAATTCTATTTTCCTTCCATACCAATGTAAACGAGGAAGACACACAGCAAGCCTGACCCCGAAGAGGCCTGTTTCCACTCTGAACTGCTGCAACCTGTGCCCTCTCCTGCAGCTGCACACTGAGCTGGGAGGAGGGGGGAGCTTTGCTCTCTCGGGCCACCCAGGGAGAGCTCTTCCACAAGGTCAACTGCAATGAGGTGATCATCTCATCCCTGCATCTTCCCTAACCCCTTCAATCTGTTTTGTCCACAAAACAGCCAGAGTGATTTTAGAGGCCAAATCAGGTCATGTGGCTCTTCTGTTCAAAACTTTTGGCTGCTTCAAGCTCCATTTAGTAAACCCAAGAAGCCCTTGCAGCTCCTTGTTCCTGAAACCTAGAACAACGCTTGGTGCAATTCAACAGTTAAATTAACTCCATCAATCCCACCTCTAGCTCCAGCAAACTGAATGCTTATGCACGGTATACAGTAGACAGCTAACACACACCTGCTAAATGGACGAGAGCAGGAAGCAGCACTGTGAAGAGTTAAGACACCAGTATGCCCATTCCAGCTACTGCTGCCGACAGAGCTCATGCGTGTATGCATTCATCCCCTTCCCAGTCACAGGACAGTCACAGAAATGTGCACCTGAGACTCATGTGCTAGCTCACACCTGTAATCTCCTCAATCGGAAAGTGGAGTCAGAAGAATCTTAAATTCCAAGCCAGTTCCACAGCAAGACCACCCCTCAAACCAACCCTCACACAAACAAAAGACACTTTTTAAAGTTTTATTATTTTTATATTTATTTAACTTTAGGTATGATTATCTTGCTCACATTCCATTGGATGGGGGTTAGACAGAGGGCTCAATGGTTAAGAGCACTGGCTGCTCTTCCAGAGGACGAGTTCAGTTCCCAAGAACCACATGGTGGCTCACAACCTTCTATAATGGGATCCAATGCCCACTTCTGACCTGCAGATAGATATTCACACACACAGAGCACTCACCTACATAAAATATGTAAATAAATAAATCTCTAAAAAACAGAACAAAACCAAACTGATCAGCTGTGAGCTGCTCTATGGGTGCTGAGAACTGAACCCAGGTCTTTTGCAAGAACAAGTACTCTTGACGCTGAGTCGTTTTTCCAGCCGCCTTCAAATGTCTGCGCTAGGGTCTTAGTTGCCCAAGATGAATCTGAACTGCTCCTCTTGCCTCTACTTCCCAAGGGCTAGGATTACAGGTGTGCACCACCACTTGGAAATGTACCCCTGAAACAATCTGAAATGGGGGTTCGAACCACCCATGCCAGCCAGTTCTCTGTGCCTCAGGAGGCATGTGTCAGCGGCGGCTTATTCAGCAATCACTGTATGCCAGCTGCTGGCACTCGAGCGAGTCTGGAGACCAGCGACACCCCCCCCCCCAACCCCCGAAGGCGAAGGAACAGGTCAAGACAGAGCGCATCTAAACCCAGGAATGTGAACGGTGGATGATGAAGAACGCTATTTACAAGGTAAAGCATGCAAGTCTGGTGAGTTAGGCTATTTTGTTCTGCTTTGTTCTCTCTACTCATCTGTAGCAAATTCCAGACTAGTGCACAGAAGTCAGATCAGCAGCCACTGGAGACGAAGTACTAGGTTGTCCAAAAATAAAAAAGGAACAGTGGGTGCGAGTGTTTCATCTTCGGGCATCCCCAGACAGCCACTAAGGAGCCGCTAAGATGTCCTCTAAGGTGTGGCTCTCCCAGGTTTCTCAGACGAGCCCAGCCTCTGACCCACGAAGCTCACACCCCAGAGACAGGGCTTGGCTCAACTTTAGGGTTCAACCTCAGCCATGTTGCCCACTGGCCAGCCTTGCCACCCTTCCTGCTCCAACTCATCCAGTCAGGTCTAGGAATCTCTGCATTCCTAGGTGAGGCAGGAAGGAGCAGGGGTGACAGGGGGTGACAGGGACACTTGTCCAGCTGCTAAGATCAGGTGATGCCAACTGTGACAACCTCAGAGAGATGGACTTCTGGCACCATGACCTCCACAAAGAAAACCTCCAAGTCTGGGGATCAAGCAAAGAGGTGGTATTTGTTGAAGGTTCACTATTAGACTCTGGCTGAAATCTTAAACTTATGTCATATATTTCCCACGGTCCTTCATGACCAGATTAGCACCGACTAAATGATGACAGTGAGAATCGCAGCTGAAAGAGAAAATCACCTGGCTTAGAACCTGTAATAACCCTTTGCTCCGATTCTCTGCTCAACTGTCACGCTCAAGTTACAGCTCAGAGCTGCCCCTAAACTGAGCAAAGGTGACATGTGCCTCCAGTCCAAGCACTGTAAGGCTGGAGCAGGACGGCCTGGGAAGAGAAGTTAACTGTAACACCTGCTTCTGTGCCATAACACGCCCTCCGAAGGTCACGGAATGACGTGAGCATCTCATACAGTGAGTATTACTTTGTAAAGCTTAATTTCTTATAAGCCGGCACATAACTGTCCCTAATTAAAATGCAATCCCCATGGCAAGATCTATATCCTTTACTTACTTGGGGCTGTCTTCACTCCCATGACGCCATCACTGTGGATGTTCCCTCATGCATATTGACTTGAGCCTCAACTAGAGACATCTCTATATCATTTCTTCTGTCCAGTAGGATTGGTGCCTTTGTACTACTGTTAGGTGATCAAATGTGCTGTCAAGCTGGGTATGGTGGTATACACCTGTGGTCCCAACACTTCAGACTCGTAGACAAGAGGATCAGAAGTTCAAGGCCACCTACAGCTATCTATCAAGTTTGATGCCAGTGTGGGCTATAAGAGTTCTCGAAAGGGCGGGGGTGGGTGGGAGTGGGGGAATCATCAAGAATGAGCCCCTACCAAAGCAACGTCCACTACATTTCCATGTTCAGTGACTACTATCACTGTCCCACATACCCAAAATAAAGGCTGAGGGGACACTGGAATAAATGGAAATAAATCCAAGGTGACGGACAAGCCACAGCGCTGCTAACCTGTTTCTCCCAAAGGTAGCCCAAGCCTCTTTCAAAGGCTCTGGAAGACAGGCGGGTAAGGTACCTAAAAGGGAAGGAGGAAGCGGATGATGGCAAGGACAGAAATAACCTAGAGAAAATCCCAGTGCCAAACAGACCAGGCACAGGCCACTGCAAGGCCTGCAGATGCCAATGGAAATGTGTGCATTTAAAAAAAAAAAAAACAAAAAATTGCTGGTGCTGGTGGTGGTGGTGG